TGCTACCATTTTGTTTTCCAGGATTTTGAACTGACAAGTAATTTCTTGACTTTGCCTGTTACTTGTGACTAAAACCGATGTGTTTGTGTCATAGCACAGTGTCTGCAAATACTATATTTATCTCTATTTATGACTCTTCCAATACAATTCTAACTTCATGAGCATCCTATATATTTCAGTTTTACCTTTTTCCATACGTTATTTCAGCCATTTGTTTAATGTACAGTTAGGTATCTTAACTAAATATGTGGAATTTTGTTGCAGAACTTAATCATCATTTGTTCTTACTTCAAAGGAAATTGCAAAAATTTTCCTGCACTACATCTTCATCATGTCAGTTTCAACCCAATTACACTCTCACAAGAACCACAATGTACAGCTTCTTGAGCTCTTTTGCCCCTTATAGTTCATTTTCTGATGTTTCCTAAATATTCATTTATTTTTTACATATAGTTTCTGTAGTTTGGTGTGAGAATGGTACTGTACAAAAATCAGCTACTTAAAGGACCACTATAGTGCCAGGAAAACAAACTTGTTTTCCTGGCATTATAGTGCCCTGAGGGTGCCCCCACCCTCAGGGTCCCACTCTTGCCGGGCTGAAGGGGGAGGAAAGGGGTTAATCACTTTCTCCAGCGCCGGGTACTCTCCTCCCTCTTCTGACGTCAAGAGCCGGGGACACGCATTCAGTCAGTCCATAGGAAAGCATTCCTCAATGCTTTCCTATGGACGCTGGCGTCTTCTCACTGTGAAAGTCTGTGAAAGTCACAGCCTCACACCCATCATACACAGCACTCTCACACTCATCACACACAGCACTCTCACACCCATCACACACAGCACTCTCACACACATCACACACAGCACTCTCACACATAGCACTCACACACAGCACTCTCACACCCATCACACACAGCACTCTCACACACATCACACACAGCACTCTCACACATAGCAACCTCACACACATCACACACAGCACTCTCACACCCATCACACACAGCCCCCACACATCACACACAGCACCCCTCAAACACAGCATCCATCACACACACACATACTGCACCCTTCACATACACACTACATCCCTCACAGACAACCACTGCACCCCTCACACATACACACTGCATCAAACACACACAATACTTCTGAATATATTTATATGATATAAATATATTCGGAAGTATTGTGTGTGTTTGGTGCAGTGTGTATGTGTATATATATATATATATATATATATACACACACACACACACACACTACAGCATCCCTCACACACATACTGCACTCCTAAACACATTACGTTCAAGACACACACTAGATCCCTTACCCAACTCTGGATCATATACACACACTAGACAGTGGCGTACTAAGGGGGGGGCGGTCCGCCCCGGGTGCCAGCCGGATGGGGGGTGCCATGGCCAGCCCCGCTGCCCCCCCCCCATGCTGCAGCCGCCTGAGGGCTCTGTATTGAGCCTCAGGCGGCTGCAGCTTTGCCCAGGCGGTGCTTCCATGAGGGCGGACCGCACCGCCCGGGCGCAGCATGGGGAGAGGCTGACAGGAGGGAAACGCTCAGCGCTCCCTCCTGTCAGCTTCCTTTGCTGTAGCGTGGCCGAGCCCTGCAGCATTGATAGTCCGCGGGTACAGAGAGCAGCTGTCTCCTGTACCCGGCCGGACTAACAGGAACTGCGCACGAAAAACACCTTCATTAAAATGTATATTCAAAAGACCGATTGAAGTCTAGTGAACATAATACCGAACGGCCCGGAACTCCCGAACGGCCTGGAAGCTCAGCGGTGTTCGCGCCGTCGAGTAGCCGTTTTTAGTACCATGCGCTCGACGACCAAACACCGCTGAGGGAACAAAGGATCCAAGATGGCCGACAGCCGCATGGTCGGTAGTCGAACGGCGGCCACCTAGGAGTGCTTCTAATTACCGATTGCAACATTGTTGCAATCGGTTAACAAGCGCCACACGCCTCTAAGTGTGTGGGCTACTACATGGTGGTTATTTCGGTTCACGAACGGCCCGCAAAGAAAATACAGCACATACAGCTATCTGCATTCGGCAGATAGCCAATACAGTAATTACACGTCATTACAGTCAGCATACATTACACATAGTTAAACACATATCCCCACCGACATACAGGCAACCCTTAAAGGTACAGTCTCTTGATATTTTCCAAGTGGCTATGTTTGCCACACCCACTTTGTCCCCTCCACAAATAAATAACACAACACCATGTTAGTAGGTAAGGGCAACGGCCACAGCTTTATTTTCCATTAGCCAGCAAAACCACCACTGTCAGCTGCTGGTTTTACCCAGCAGACAGATAACATAACTTTATAACCAGAGCCTCTTTAGCCTGTCATTCATGATCCACCAAATCAGGCTGCGACTCCCCAAGCACGTCCGGGCAGTGTCCTTTCATAACTTGCTGACGCAGGAAACCTGCCATTGCAGCGTTAGGCAAGGATTGCCAACAGGGACAGGGAACCACCTCTGACCAAATTAACACCAAGCTGGGGAATAATGCAAAGCAGCACGCCAAATCATGCTTACATGCGTGGATTAATAAATAAAGGATAATGTACCAGAGCTAATATTTTGTCGTAAATTTTGTACAACAATATGTAAACACTTAATAATCAAGCTGCTATATCACCATCATTCTATCTTTTAGCATCAGAATCCAAAAAAGTCTGATGGTGGAGTGCTAAGATAATATTAGATGGAAACTGTATATAATAGCACTATAGGACACAGATAATAAAGAAATATACCTTAGAATGGTTCCCTACTTCGGAATCCTAGTGCTTGTGTAGTATCCCTTTAAAAAGAAACAGAAAAATACATATCATAGTGCAGACTGTGCAAAAGATTATTATATAAGATATTGTGCCAAATCACCACTCACAATTTATTGAGCTAAAGATTTAGCTCAAATTTATATGCCTTAGGGTCCGTTGAGAAGACCCTTTCCCTTCTTTGTAGTCAGTTTTCTGAGTGTTCTGTCCTATGTAATATTGTGAGTACAATATTGCACAATATTGTTGTTCTTTGAATGGGTGGTCAATAAAGGGTAAAATCAGTACTCACAAACCCAGAGCCTTCCAATAGGCTCAAATTAAGTTGCATATGTGGTTAAGGACAACATTCTTTCTATGTGGTAGCAGGAAAAAATGCCATAAGTGTAATAATAATGTATGTTTTATTTACCATTAATATATAAAAATCATGTAATAAAATACAAAACTATAAATACACTTATTCGTCAATAGTCCAAAATCAGAGTCTAAATGCTCACAGTTCCCAGGGCACGTTTCGCCAATGGCTTCCTCAGCTGGGTAAAAAAGTCTCTGTCAGTTCTACTTGGGCTAGTTCCTGCTATATATGCCCCTCCAGTGGGGGAATCATTTGTTTCAGGCTTGTAATTTCACGGGCAAACTCCATTGTAATGGAGACGCCATGTGTACCAAGCCTCGTTTTCTATGTTCCTTCCGGGTTGAGCGCCGATACGTCATTTTTGGTCTTGCGTTTCATCATGCGCTCCAGTGGCCATTATTGTACTTATTTTCAGTGAAAGAGATACATGCAATAGAATAAAGAGAGATCTAATATCAATGCTCTATGGATACGCTTATGTTCTATAACTCATAGTATTTATACACAATTTGAAGATCAGTCTTATCTAAATAACATATGTAGTATGCATACTTTAAACATATGTGAAAGAGGTTATTTACTTTTAATTATATTATAACTTTAGTCTATAACTGATAATGTTACATTCTAAGATGAATTTTCTCTGTACACATTTGGAATCAATCTTTTCTAGATGACATACATAATATGCATAATTTAAAAAAGGATATTTGTTATCAAAAGGATTATGATTTTACAATAGATTCATAATAGATAATTATTGGCAGATATGTTATACATAATACCTATACATGGTGCAAGCACCAATGGATGGATGGAGAGGGATGGGATAGGGAGGGATGAATAGGGAGGGAGGGATGGATAGGGAGGGAAGGATAGGGAGGGATGGATATGGAGGGATCCATAAGGATGGATGGATAGGGATGGATGGATGGATTGAGGAAAGAAGAGGGATGGATGGATAGGGATGGATGGATAGGGATGGAGGGATGAAGAGGGATGGATGGATAGGGTTGGATATTGATGGGGATGGATGGATAGCGATGGATGGATAGGGATGGATAGATGGAGATGGGTAGGGATGGATGGATGGATAGGGATGGATGGAGGGATGGATATTGATGGATAGGGATGGAGATGGATGGATATTGATGGATGATTTTAGAGAGAGTGTGTTTATAATTTTTTAGTATTTGTGTTTGTATACAAACACTATATATAGAGAGATCTCTATATATAGTGTTTCTATGCAAATACACAAAGTTTGGCTGAGGAGGGTTGCCAAAGGCTGGGGGCGGGTATAGAAAGTGAGCTGAGCTTTCGGTCAGCTCAGCTTGCGAACGTGCATACCGGTAAAGCGTTGAGTTCATTCATATGGCATCATTCAATGTCGCTCTATGAAGAATTCAATTGGGGCAGCACGAAGCCGCGCATGCGCACCAGATTGTGATGACGATTCTCAAAGAGAAGCGTCCTATTGGACCCTGCAATTTTGTCATTTTGACAAAAAAAAGGGGGCATGGCCTGACGAGGAGCTCGGTGCTGGAACGAAGGTAAGTTAAAAAGGACTCGTTTTTGTTTTTTTTATATGATAAAAAGGACTCTTTTTTTTTCTTTTTTTTTTTAAATGGCAAGTTCATATAAAAGCAAGAAAGAAGGCTAGGGGACCTGTCTTTCTTGCTTTTATATGGTGACTATAGTGATCCTTTAAGTTTAAGTTGTTTAGAGTGTAGCTGTAGTTGTAACACAAAATAAATGACATAAACAAATGAAAATCCAAAGTCACTGAACACACTTGATTTGCTGATTTGCAGAACTGTATTTAATTATGGTAAAATATTAATTATATTGATTGGACAGCTGGTATCAGTTTATTGCTTAGCAGTATTGTTTTTCTGACCTTTCACCAGCACCTCTGGCACAGATGGAGACCGTCATTTCATTATTTTCTCCATTACAAATACATTCCTACCATTTTTACAATTTACTGCCTTTACCTCAAAGGAAATAAGGTGAAATAAATATTTTCCTACACATAATTTCTTATCTACGTTCTTCTAATTTAATTAAAATGAACCTGAATGTATAATTTATATTAATGCATCTATCTCTCCTCTACACATTGACTGTATTTACTTTTAAACAGCAGCTTGCATACTGAACACATCTGCGTTAATTAAACAGAAAGTGAGGCTTGGGAAAATTAAAGGGCAGGGACTTCTGCATGGAGAAATAGCATCCCATAGTATAGACTTGGATATCTCCACAAAGCATTCCTTCACCAATCTAATCTGTGTTTGCAACGAAACAGTTTGTGAATGTAATTGTGAATTCATAATATGGAATTCTTCTATGGGAAAACAAACAACAAAAAAACAAATATCACAATTTTGGTTTTTATCAAACCAAACAAATGAATATATTTTTCTGTGAAATCTCAAACAAGGGAGAATGATTTGAGATTTTCCAGCTGCTTTTTAACCCTTACACTTCAATTTTTAAAAAAAAATTTTTAATGAATAAACAGAGCATTTATTTCAAATTTTGGATGTATAGATAGCCAGAGAATTAGGGTAAAATGCGTATTTCTTTGTAGATTATTCAAGAATGCTTAACAAAACAAACAAATGTAAGAGCTGTTATTATTTATTAGATTTTTTTAGTCCTTTACAGGACATAAAGAAGGAAGTGAATCAGGGGCACAGCCAGCAGGACCGTGGCTTTCCGCACACTTTCTATAGCAATAAACCCTCTGAGAAGTCTAAGGTGTTGACCATCCTCTTTTAGAGCAATGCACAGTTTGTGGAGCAGGCTGCCTTCTGCTGCTGAGAGGGAAACTATCTCTTTTTGAAGGGTACCATAGTGCGTCAGCAGTACACATTAGCAAACATATATGCACCTAATTCCAAACAGTTTGAAAATGAGTGCTTAGTATACTAGCGGAAATTTCAGAGAGCATCCTCATAGTGGGGGGAAGACCTGAATGCCCCAATGTATCCAGCGAAGGACTGCACATAGGACACGACCAGTCACACACGGAATTTCCAAATTACTCTCTGTTTTCTGTATGAATGCATCAGCCTCTCACATTATTGTGGAGGACTTTTGGCCCACATAGCCAATACTTTACATACATTTTTCAGTGAGCTATACTGAGAAGTACAGACGAGCGGAAGGCGAAGATTAGGCAATACCTGGCTTCGTCATCATCGAGGAGGAGCTTGGGCATGTCATTAAATAAGCCCTGACAAGAAAATCCTCCTGCCTGGATTGGTTCCCCCTACAGTAGTACAAGATTTTTTGATGAATGTACATTCGCCTCTGGCCCAGTTCGCAGCAGCTAATATCACACTCACTTCAAAGGAAGGCAGAGACAAAACATTCTGTGCCAATTACCGACAGATTTTGGTATTAAATGTAGACTTAAAACTGTTTTCTAAGGTCTGGGCAATGCACATGTCACCATACCTACCAGCCATTATAGAACCTGATCAGTAAGGATTCATCCTAGTCAGGGAAGCTAGGGATAACAAGATTGAGTGATATTCATGAAGCATGTGGGGTTGGGATTCCGGTACTTCTCCTGTCGACAGTTGCAGAAAAGGCATTTCACAGACTGGATTGGGACTTCCTATTCCTAACCTTGAAAGCACTGTGGCTGGACCCCCAGTTCACATAGGTATACAAGCCCTATATACAGACACCCATGGTGGGGACCTTTTCCCCATATGTAATGGGACACAACAGGGGTGTCCACTATCCCCCATACTGTTTGAGTTCACTCTGGAACCCCTAATGAATAATATAAGGGCCAATGCAGACATCCAGGGTCCAAAACAGAACTTCACAAAGTCATAGCCTATGCAGACGACCTCATCTTTGTGATCTTCTAACCGGAGGCTACACTCATAATTTCACACATACAATTTACAGATTAATAATGCAAAATCAGAGATACTTAATATCTTCCTCCCCATTGCAGCAACACTAACACTACGCACTGAGTTCCCCTTTAGATGGTGAGCCTCAAGCATGAAATATCTAGGCATATAGCTATAAGGTAATCTAAACAAAATTTGTCGAGTCAATTTTTCTCACCCTATTTTCTAAATTTGCATGATATCTCCATTGAAGTGGGATAAATCTCATCTATCTTGGATAGGGAGAATAAATGCAATAGAAAGTCCCTCAGCCTGTCCCCTAACATATCATTTTTAATTATTCATATGTTTTTCTGCATGTGTGGTGTTATTGTCACATTTACATCCTCTCCATATGCTATGCACAACATTAATCACCTTTCCAGGAATAGGAGAAGTGCTACTCGACGTTACTATGCTATAAGATCGGGCGTTTGCGAAATGCCAGTGGACGCCGGCCGCTGCGGATCCATACTGTTATGTAGCCCCACGTCTGTTCACGATGATAGCGATGATGACGTGCTGATGACGTCTCGCAGAGGACGCACGCACGCGTTTTGGGGTCAAATGCCGGATAAGGCCAATCGGATTCACAAGAGGGATATTTAAAGGTGTGTTCCTGATCATGTTTCTTTGGTTATTAACTTTGGCTTTATTCTGACTTCCCTGAATTCTGGTATCCCTGACTATTGGCTATTCCTTGCAACTGTGTTTCGTTCTGTGTTCCTGACCTTGGCTAGTATTTCGACTATTCTCTGGTAGGTTAAGTCTGGCCATTCTAAGGTCCGGTTAGATGTTATCCTTATTCCTAAGTGTGATACTAATACTGCGTGTTGGATCAATTGTAATAACGACAGTTATGAAAATACCCCCTTTTATGGCTGTGGGTGGTGAGTTTCTCTGTAAGGTTTTGTGGTTGCACCACTGGATGAAATCACATGTGGATTTTATAGGCTTTCATGCATAAGCCAGCATCTAAGAGAAGTATTTAATGCTCCTGCAGCCTGAGCTAGAAACCATCAGATTGCAGCCCGAAGTTTAAAGGGACAGTATAGCATTAGGAATACAAATCTGTATTCCAAATTCTATAGTCTTCATGTCCCAAATTAGCATGTCCCCCCAAGTGTGCACTGTAAATAAAAAAAATTATATATATTTTGCTTACCTTTCTCCAGCATCAGGTCTCTAGTGGTGCTGACACTCTTTAATCCGTGCATGACAATATGCATCCAGATAATGGTCTAATACAATGCTTCACATAGAGGAGAACTGAGGACCGTAGGCATGCATGGCACTCACAGAGATCCACCAATAATTCTCTTGTCATAAAGCATCATTGAATGCAATGATTCTCTATAACAAGCCGTGATAACATTGTGCGGGGACGTGACATTTTGGTATGCCTGGGTATAACAGGATGTAAGAGACCCAGCTCTCCAATTCCAGTGGGTTTGAAGCCACGCTTCCAAGCCTTTAAATTTATTAAAGTATAGGTATTTGGGGGCTACAGGGCCATCTTTAATATTGATTGGACCCTGGGCAAGCATCTGTTTGGGCCCCCTGGGCATGCAATCACTCCCTCCACCCCAACCTAGAGGCGAAACTAATGTAGAGAGTGCCTTGGTGCAACAAAAAAAAATCCAGGCCTGCCCTGTAGCACAAGAGTAAAGAAAAGATAGATCCCCATCTGTCATACAACTCCTGCGATGCTATGCCAGGTGGGGATCTACCATCCTTGCAGGGTTGTATTTTTGAGCGGTGTTTGTGCAATTGAATGTCAGCATGTTATTGTATAGAGTGTATGTGTGCATGTAGGAGTGTATTTGTATGTACTGTTACCATTGGAATGCAGTGGTGTACTTGTGTGTAGTGTTGGCTTTTAAATGCAGGTGTACTTTTGTGTGTAGAGTTGGTGTTTGTATATAATTTTAGCGTTTTAATACAGGAATGTGTTTGTATGTAATGTTTGTATTTGCATGCAGGGGTTGTTTCGATGTAGTGTTGTGTACATTTGTGTGTAGTATTGGTGTTTCAGCAAACTGGTGTGTTTGTATGTAATGTTTGTGTTTGCAGGGCTCTGTTTGCATGTTGTGTGATTTCTATAACACATATACACATACACATTAACACGCAGATACACACATAGGCACACTGACACATGCTCACACCTTGACACATACTGGCACATACACACACACACTCAGATACACACCCTTTGACACACAGATACAAGCACTTTGATACACACACACACTGGCACATCCACACACAGAGGTACACACACACACTGACACAGGTATGTACACACACACTCAGATACACACATACATAAAGGTATAAATGCAGGGGTGTATATGTGTACAGTGCTAGAGATGGAGTGTATTTGTGTTGGCATTAAAATGCTGGAATGTATGCATTACCACACACTCAGATGCACACTTACACACACTGACACATACATACATACATACATACACACACAAACACACACACAGGTCCACATACACACTGACACACAAGTACACATACACAGGTATACATACACACAGAAACACTGACCCACAGACAAACACAGCCAGATACAAACAATGACACAAACACAGCCAGATACACACACTGACACAAACACAGCCAGTTACACACAAGGACATAAACACAGCCAGATACACACACACACACATATATATGTGTACAGTTACATATTTTAATTTCTGCCTTCTAGCAGCTCTTGGACAGCAACTCCCAGCAACCTTGGCCATAATAATGTCTCAACTCTGTTCTTACATACCCTGGTCCAGAATTTGGCAAAAGTGACATTTGGAAATGGTATACAGCCTTTGATAACACTTGATGCAATAATATGTTAAAATAAATACTTTTAAAATGTATATTTAATAGGGAACTGTCAGGTTCTTCTAGGATTTTTAACATGTACTTATTCCCTGTGTGTTACATTACAAACACCAACACTTGAATAAAAGTGATATCAGAAATAAGCAAAACAAAAAAACAAAACATATTTAGCCACCCTCCTGTCTCCTTACCTTTTGGGTACAGAAAGGTGGCTTCCCTGGGGTCCAGTGAGAGCTTGCTGGCCCAGGCTGATGGGAGTCTGCCATCAGCTTTCTCAGTCTCTCTCCCCCACAATGCTTGCATCCTCCTCCGTGTGGTGTGTGCCTCCTCCCCAGCGGCACTGAGGAGGAAGTGATCTGACCTCACTGCCTCCCAGCATGCCACGGAGAAGAAAAGGGATCACAGGGCAGTGTGTGAGGGGCTAGCTGCGTGTTTGTATTCAGCCAACCCCCATATTACAAGGGCCCGGTCCAGAGCAGTATTAAAGGGCTGTGGCCCCTGATTACCTCAGGTGCTGCAGGGGGGCCCATGGGGCAGCTGCCTTAGGGCCCCCAGGAGTAACTGGGCCCGGGGCAGCTGCCACTTTTGCCCCTCCTTAAAGACGGCCCTGGGGGGCTAGGGCATGGAGGGAACTAATGTAGGCACTATAAAACATAATTATGATGAGTACAGTATTACTAAAATGTGCTTTAGCAGGTTCCTGCATCTTGCATTAAATCAAGCCCTGTGAATTCTATCCAGGCTGACTAAGTTATGTATCAATTACATGGTTTTCCAATCAACCCTCTATATCTGGCAACAAATCTACATATGTCTCACCAGAGTAGTCTTTTTACTGGTATTATTTTTGGGTGCCACCTACATCTTTAGATATGTTTTATCTTTATTATTGATAAATTGTATTTAAATTGTGCAGGCTTTACTGCTCTGGTGTACATCATTCAATCTGATCACATGGCCTTTTGTATGGCTTAAAGGACCACTATAGTGCCAGGAAAACAGAGTCGTTTTCCTGGCAGTATAGTGCCCTGAGGGTGCCCCTCACCCTAAGGGACCCCCTCCCACCGGGCTCTAGGGTGAGGAAGGGGTTAAACTTACCTCTTTCTCCAGCGCCGGGCGGGAAGCTCTCCTCCTCCTTGGCTGAATGCGCATGCACGGCAAGAGCTGCTCATGCACGGCAAGAGCCGCGCGCGCATTCAGCCAGTCTCATAGGAAAGCATTCACAATGCTTTCCTATGGACGCTGGCGTCTTCTCACTGTGAAAATCACAGTGAGAAGCACACAAGCGCCTCTAGCAGCTGTCAATGAGAGCCACTAGAGGCTGGATTAACTCTAACATAAAAATGAAACTGCTATGTTTATAGAAAAAGGGGTTAACCCTAGCTGGACCTGGCACCCAGACCACTTCATTAAGCTGAAGTGGTCTGGGTGCCTATAGTGGTCCTTTAATACTGGTAATTTTACAATTGCCAGTGGAAGTTTCATGTTTTTTTCTCTTTGATGTTAATTTGCAGTTGCAGGGAAAATCATGATATAAATATCTAGAATATTACAGCAAGAATGTTAAGGAGCTATATATTTATTTAGTAAATCATTTGTTTTAGATATTCAAGATAAAATGTTGCAGTTTCACTTGACGTGCTTTCAGCTTTGCCTACAAGGCTGAAACATTATATTTTCCATTGATTTTGTCACAAAAAGTTTGCTTAATAAAAGCTGAGCCTAAAGGATGGATTTTTATTTTTATTTCTGAAATCTATTATTACTATTTAAAGCATGGCAGAGGTAAAAAGAAAAAAAAAATCTGGTCAATTCCTCAACATCACTTGCAAGCTGTATTAATAGAGCTGCTAAAATGTTAAATCTAATAAACAAGAAAAATGTTGTGATTTGCCCTGGTAATTATATAATCATACACCTTGTAGAGAAGTAATGCTTTTCTATGTTTTAAGATTATGTTATACAGTAAATTGTCATTTGTTGTCATTTTTACTGCTTCCATTGGTTATTTGGAATGTAACATATAACTGGATAGTCATAAAAATAAGTTTATGTACAAATTAACCAATACATTGCAAGACATAAAAAATGAAACTTTTAGATTTAAAGGAACAATATAGCGTTAGCAATGCTAATCTGTATTCCTAACGCTGTTGTGTCCCTATCCTTCTTTGCTTTCAGACCCCCGTCCCATTAAAATAAAAATATTTACTTACATTTTTCAGTGCTTAGTCTTCCACAGTGCTGCTATCCTCTATGCCTCTTGTGATGTCATGGCAGGGGCATGGCCTCCTTTGCTGATGTCCAATCCAGTGCTCCTAAAAGAGGACCATAAGGGACCTAATGTGCATGCAGGGTGAGCGTGCGGTGCCCATGCAAGCCTCCCCATTGGAATGCATTGAATCAGTGCTTTCCTATGGAGTCTTCTATGTCACGTGACTGTTTGTCAGTGCTGCAGAGGCATACTGACAGCCACAAGAGGTGGACTTAACTATATTTTCTATAGAACTGCAATGTTTTAAATTGCAGGATTAAAAGGACAGGGAGACTGCACCCAGACCACTTAGATAGTGTCCCTTTAAGGGAATAATTAAATTCTTAAAGAACCAATAATTGTTAATGTTATTAAAGACCAAAAGTATTTCTGTTCATGAGGTGTGTTACATAGTTATAAATTATCTTATTGCCAGTAAGCAGCCAGACTAAAACTGTGTCTATCTGTACATCCAAAGTTATGTGACTTAGTTTTTTTACAAATATGTTTGCTTCTTGCATGTGTAAGAAATGGTAAAATAGCATTTTAATGGATGATGACATATATTTTATAAATATTTGAAAAGAGCAGAGTTGAAAGCTGTGATGTCCATGCAAGGCTATCAGCTTGAGAGTTTAAAATATAAGCATGCCTCGGAAAAGACTCTGGAGACATTGTAGGATTCTGATCCAAAAAACACTGACATAGAAAGATGTTCATTTGGTTAGACTAGTATAATTTATAATATAATAATAATTTGTGATTTTTATAGCGTTTTTCTCCATGTGAGATTCAAAGCACTTTAGAAATATATAAAACAGACATAAGTTAAGAGTTTCTGATAGTCAAATGAGCTGACTGAATGCCTGATAAAAGAGGTGGGTCTTTAGATTTTTTATTTTAAAAGTTTGTATGGATAGTGTCTCTGATTGACCAAGGTGTAGAGTTCCAGAATGTAGGGGCAGCGTGGCTGAATGCCTGGGGATTTTGCACCAAGAATGAAGATGGAGTTGTGCTCTTAACCTTGACAAATATCATCATATTACAATAATCACTTAAAGGGACACTCCAGGCACCCAGGCCACTTCTGCCCATTGGAGTGGTCTGGGTGCCAAATCCCACTACCCTTAACCCTGCAGCTGTAAATATTGCAGTTTTCATAAACTGTAATAATTACATTGCAGGGTTAACTCCTCCTCTAGTGACTGTCTACTAGACAGCCACTAGAGGGCACTTCATGATTTCTAGCACAGGTTTTCTGTGCTAGAGCATCGCTGGATGTCCTCACGCTGTGTGAGGACCTCCAGCGTCACTCTATTCACCATAGGGACATCAGCAGGGGTTTCACCCCTTCAGCAACATGGGATGGGTGGTGGGAGGGAGAGGGTACCTGCAGTACCAGGAAAACGGTTTGTATTCCTGGCACTGGAGTGTCCCCTTTAACCCAGGGGTGCTTAAAAGGTAGATCCCCAGATATTTTAAAACTACAGCTTCCATAATGCTTTGTAATTCTAAAAGAATGCAAAGGCGTACAAAGCATCATGGAACTTGTAGTTGTACAACATCTGGAAATCTACCTGGGACACCCCTGACTTAAAGAGATACTATAGGCACCCAGACCACTTCAGTTCTGTGAAGTGGTCTGGGTGCAATGTCCCAGGTCTTAACCTTGCAAAGCTAATTATTGCAGTTTTTAAGACACTTTTGGTCGCCTAACTGACGCTGGATGTCCTCACGCTATGTATGGGAACGTCTATAACGTCATTTTATAATGCTTTCCTGTAGGGAAATCCTAATGCAAATATAGCCTTTGCTGTGCCTACGCATTAGGTCACCCCCACTGGCGGACGTCGGCAGGGGGAGGAGCGAAGGCAACCCAGTGCTGGACTGAGGTAAGTGACAGAACGGGGGTAAGAGGGAAGCTATAGTGCCAGAAAAAAAAAAAAACTTTGAATTTGAAGACAGATAAGAACCAAATGGCCTAGCTAAGGTGCTAGCTTTCCAGTGCATGTATACCATAACTGATCCATTATTTTCATACAGAAGAATTGTATTACACAACTGCTTAGTCTTCCAGTCAAAGTTTAAATGCCTCTTCTTTTAATATTTGGAATACATTAAGTAGTATCACATGATATATACTAAAAATGTTGTGTACAATTGCCAAAGGTCATCAATATCCGCTTTTGACAATATATTACAGAGTGAGAATGCTGCTTGTTTATATTTCCTGTATTATGAATTATAAATTGGAAGCATTGCTCTGAGTCGCCCCATCTCTTGCTCCATGCATTGCATTAGCATACTGCTTAGCTATCAAGTAATGTTCTAAAACCGCTGCTGCTTATAAAATTGGGTGAAAGTAATAATATAGGAGTGAAGATGAAGACTTTATCTAAGGAATATAGAGTCAGGGTGCCCTAAAGGTTATTATTGTTTTTATTTTTTAGAATGTGAATGTCAAGCTAGACAATGCAGAATACATCTATAATATCTAGTCAATCAGCCCAGGCTAGAAAGGAATTTTTGCATTTATGTGATATAGAGAACGATGGGGTTGTGTTTGCTGTTTCAAAGGGATATTTGTGAACTATTTGCGGTTACATTCACATTCAGCTTTGCTGCATGATATTTGTAATTGAAGTAGATTTTTGAAGCATTTCGGAATAGCAATGTAGCCTTGTTGTCAAACGTAAATCAAATAAACATATCTGACCTTTCAGAAGAAAAATAATAAAATGAAGTTATTTATCTTTACCCACCTGCCACAAAATGATTGAAAATATGGCAACATAGTCATTTTTTTCCACAGATGTTATCAACCCCTGAGAAGGATAATGCAGTAGATCTGGAGTTGTGTTAAGTAGTTCCTTGTGCATAGGAAAAGGCCATGGAGTGATTTAGTAAAAATAACCTTCTATTTCCTTACTTTCTTTCATTGAGTTAGTAATTGTTTGACTCACATTGCTTCCATTTCCCAAATAGGGCAAAGAGCCAAACAAGAACAAAGAGAACAGCGAATGATTCATATCAAACATTCTCCTCATCACTGCTGCTGTGATCTCAGAGCAGCTTCCATTTTATTTTGTGTCAACAACCATCGTGACCTTTCAAAAAAAGGGCACATAGGCTGTTATTTATAGCTAACTAGT